GGAATCTGAGTGCTCACAATGCCCTCAGAAAGAGCCTGGCGCTCTGTCCCCGGGTTGAATAAATGCCTCCTCGGTGCGATTTCTGTCTGCTGCTGCCGGTTGACAGATGGCTCCCAGCAGGTGAACTGGGGGCTGTTAGTGAATGAGCTGCTTTCTTTCTCCGGCACAATCCTTCTCAAAGGCGCTCTGTGTCTTAAGAACTTACAAAAGGCATTTGGCTGTAAAGCAAAACTGAAGAGAAGAGTTGAAGCTAAGACACCATGTGTTGGCATGAACACTGCTCCAGTTAACTCCTCGTCTCTTCTCAAGGGTCTGCAGTAGTGCTAAGTGGTGAGGAAACACTATTGGAAGACTGATGTTGACACCTTGCAATTTTCCACGATTGTCAAAGCATTTTTCTACAGATGATTTTATTTAATTTCTGCAGCGACTCTATAAGGGAAATCTCATTAATAATCTCCATTTTACTGATAACACTGAGGATCCTTAGAGTTAGAAGGTCCGCTGAGTATTCCATAGCCAGTAGGTGATAGGCCAGGGTTCCAACGAAGCTTCCATCTCCCAGGTTTGTGTTGTTTTTGTTTCAGAGATCTAACTTCATCAAATTCTAGTCAGCATGGTTAGGGAAATAAACTTGTTATCATTCTTTCATTCATTCACCCTTGACTAATCACCCACTTTCAAATCAGGGAAACTGCAAGCCAGGGAAATAAGGAGATTTCATTGGTTGGAACAGAGGAGTTCATATACACAAAATTAAAGCATAGCACGCCTTTCCATTTTCTGCAGTGCATACCTCAATTTTTCATTCCTTTGATGAGTAGTTGTTGAGCAAGTCCTTGCTAGCAGACAGGGGATATGGTAGCCAATGCAAAAGAAAATGGCCCCAGATGTTCCAGAGCTTACAGAAGAGCTGGGGTGGGGTGGGGCAGGCATGAGACAGATAGCGCAGGGTGCTGCTGGAGGTGCGGGGAAATAGGTAGTGGTAGGAGGGTGAACTGCTAATCCCTCTTGAGATGATTTGATGGTGTAGCAGCCTGACTTGAAGGGCATTGTATACTCTCATATTGTTAATATTTTTGTCTGTTGGTGTTCATTTTGAATTCAAAATACTATGAAAAAAAGAATTCATGTATTTGGCAGAAACCGACGGCTTCTAGGATTGCAATAAAGCAGAAAAAAGGGTGGGGATGTGAATTTCTTTCCATTTCAAGGAGCCTTCATTAACACAAGGAATTCATAAGAACGCCGGGTGAGTGATAGAAACAAGAACCGTACAGCAACAGACAGAGACGTTCCTGGAGGCCACTGGGGAGGCTTCACTGAGAAGAGAGCTTCCGTTCAAGGAGGAGTTGACAGACCTAGAGGAGGGAAGGAAGGGAGTGGGGAGACAGAGAGGAAGAGAAGAAAAAGAGAAAGAAGAGGACTTTGCAGAAGGTGAGAAGAAAACTAAGAAGCTGGAATGAGAAGGGCAATTAATAGATCCACCAAGGAACTAGTCTGAGGAGATGTGAGGGTGTGTGATGGTAGGAAGCTGGGGATAAAGTTGACGAAGTAGAGGGTTGTCGCGGTGCAGAGGACCTTGAGGACTGGAACTGTAGTGTTTATCACTGACGAGAGAGTTCTGAACCTTGCGAGTGAGCTCAGTAACAGGCCTCCTGGCAGGTGAGTTCTGTGGTAGCCTCACTCTGTCCTCGCTGCCTCCCCTCCGTTTCTTCTCCTTGTACCACATGATCCTGCGGATCTGCAGTTACTTATTCTGCCGTTTTAAAAATGGTTAGTATTTGCATGGAAATTAGAAACAAATGAACAGATGGCTTTCTGTCAGGCAAAGAAGTGTGATTTCTTCAAATATATTCTGATTCTGAGCAGAAGACGGCAGTGTAATATATAAATGAAAACACTGACGTGTGTGCCCCCTGCTGCCCAGGGCTCTCTGGATTGTAGTGCCAGTTCATATTTTATTTATAAAATGAAACATTCAAATGTTCTATGTTCAACAGAGTCAGCGTGTGTTCCCAATTTAGGAAAATAAGTTTTTAGCTGATACCACCAAGCATTATTTCTTTTCAACCCTTTTCAACAAGGAAGGAATCGAAACGCGACCCTACAGTAACTGTTGGTCTTCTGGTCATGCCTATTTCACTGCTGCAGTGGAGATTTTTACTGCTCACCAGATGTCCACTGATCCTCCACGTTTCTCAACCCCTTGGCTTTAAGCCGAGCCATGTGGTTAGTTTGATCCAGTGGGCTGGGAGAGGAAGTGATGTGTATCACTTCCACGGTAAAGCATTTCAGAGCCAATGCACAGCCCTCCGGTGTCTTCCTCCCTGCTGCAGAAATCTGGAGGCCTGAGTTAAGCCACAAGAAGAATGGATCCAGGTCACTGGGTCACTGCGTGGGGCGAAGGTGGCCTGGAAAGCTAACCTCTCACATCAGGATTTGTATGAACAGGATAGAAACCTTGATTATGTAAAGACTCTGAGACCTAAGTCTGACTTTTCTGATGAATCCAGTCCTTCATCCTTCACCTATTCGTATCCTATTTTTACTTGAATTATGTTGAGATGCTTTTGACAAGACTAGATAATTTCTACTAGGTCAGCTTAACCCAGTCTGCTAGTGCTTGGCAATAGCCTGGAGTAGCAGTTTTGAGAAAGAAAGGAGAAAATTCTTACTGTCTGCCTTACTTAGATTCTCTGGTCAACTGGAGATAATATGTTTTGAATAGGCTTTTGTTAACTGTCCTTAATTCTTTCAAGTGTATGTTTTAAAGTATGTTTCCTTTACAGGAAACATAATGTTCTCCTAAAAAGAATTTTTTCAAAAGCCCCTAGGAAGGAATATCTTTCTCTGATCTATTCAGCTATCAGTGATGTTGGCTCTCTGTGACTTCTGGCTGCTCACAGATCAGTAGTGATAATGAGCTGTTTCTAAACCTGTGAGGCATAGGAGGGGTTTAGTGGCAGTTAGACGGGATGATGTTATGTTGGCAGCTGCTCTCCTGTGGAAAGGCTGCTGGGATAGTGGGTATTTTCCCAACACTATTGGCAGTTCAGTCCTCAGCAGTTGAAACCTTGTTATCCTGGAAAGTGCACTGAATTACATGAACGCTTCAAAATCTCCTAGAGCAGGTTGTTGGAGGAGGTGGAGAACATGTTGTTATTGTTTATTTGAGGGCTAACTGAGGAGGCTAATGCTAGCCAATGAGGTTAAGTTTAGCCTTCAGAAACACTTTTCAGGATTCCAGCAACTTCAACCATCTCAGACGTCAGCTTCTCTGACAAAGGCTATCAAAACATGAACAATGACTAAATGATACTTATACTAGAATGTGTTTCAGAGATTAATGAAAAGTATATCCTGGCCTCATAATCCAGGGAATATTTTTTCTTGACTTTGTTGCTGAATGAAACATGGATTCTTACATCAGTTGAGAAATCCACACTTTGGCAATATTTTCTTCATGAGATTCTAAAACTCTGCATGAAGTTATCACTGTAACTTCAACACTATAGGTGTCACATAACTTACACATAAATATGTCAGCAGCCAAACATGTATTATTGCAGCCTAAGTGCATTCTATGCATATCCTATTTATCTGAGTAATCAGCTGATAAAAGCTGATTTTGTTTATGGCTAAACAGTGTCTATTTTGGGTTCCTCTCATTAAATGATTTACTCAACTTACTTTGTGATGCCAACATACATCCTATTCTCTATTATGTGTAGGCTAGCCCTTATATATATACATTTATATATATACATTTATGTATGTATATATAGTTGTTTGACTGTATTTGATTTGTCCGGTGTCATCAGTCATGATTCTCAACAGTGTTCAGACCCAGCTCTAAGAGGTTCTGGAAAGCGCACAAGCAAATCCGATAGAAATAATGGAGTAGAGAACAGAGGCAGAACTGCAGCTGAGTACATTTCAATTTGTTCAAGAAGCTGAGTATGCTGGATATTATATGTGCTGAGTAAGTATTTCTAGTAAATTGGAGGTTGCCGTCGATGAAATACCACTTCCAGAGGATCCACAAAGCCTTCTGCTTGAAATGGTCTTTAACCAGAGTTGAAGACCTAAAACCAGCTCTCAGGGTCTATAGAGTTGGCATGTGGCTGAAAGGCTTGGGCACTTTCTGACTGTGTCAGGCTGGGAAGGGCACTTAGGATCTCTTGGCCTCGGTTTTCTCATCTGTAAATTGGGGATAATAACAGTTGCCTATCTTAGAGGGTGATAGTGAGGAATAAATGAATTACTATATATGAAGTCCTTGGAACCTCGAGTGGCACGTAGTAAATGCCGTGTAAATGTTCGCTAGTGTTATTTTAGGTATGTTGCAGCCACTCTGTATAATGTATCAAATGCTAAAGCTGTGCCAAGTAATATTCTTAACAAAAACTGTGTTAAAGTGATTTAATCCTTTTCATATGGAATAAAAATTATCCCTTCTGACTGCACTGTGTTAATTTAAAATAACTATTAAATTTTATGTGCCTTACGGAATAGGCCACAAGTTGCTTTTTGAAAATGAATCCCAGATGGCATTTATCTCTTTCTCATAAAATAAAGTCTAGAAAAAAGATAGTCATTTTAATTTTCTAACAAACAAAAAAACACAAAAATCAGGATGATGGGTAAATAGGGCATTATTTTTATGAGTAATAGGTACTGGGTACCCTCAATTTTCTAATCGTCATCTCATCCTTTGCCCAATAATCACCAAATTCTGTTGGAATGAAATTAGCTTTTACGTGTTTAGGGCTGGAATTTCACTTTCATTTATATATAACTATAGTGTAAATTTTTACAAAGACTAAAAAAGACGATGTTATTTTTTAGATATTGTTTTTAGTGTAGCTCAAATGACGAACGTGTTCTTTGATAATAGGTGTCGGCAAATGTTTTCTGTAAAGGGCCAGATAGTAAATATTTGGGGTCACATATAAATATAGAAAAGGCCCTACAGTCTCTGTCACACCCTCTGTTACAACTACTCAGCTCCGGCCATGTAGCATGAGTGCAGCCACAGACATCTCGGAAGTGAATGGACGAGGCTGTGTGCGGGTAACGCGGTATTTAGAAAAATAGGCAGCAGCAGGATGGATCTGGTCCATGGACTATAGTTTGCTTATTCCTGTTCTGTAGAATTCCTTTTTTTTTTCCTTATTTTTACTCAACTGAAAGATACATGCACACATCTGTAATGTGTACTTGCACGCTTATACACATGTGCACGTGTACTTGAAAATCATGAAAATTGAGTACAAAAAATAGGCACCTTAAGGAATTCGAAGAGGAAATAAATCATATTTTTTTCAGCATTCATTTGTTAAATACCCAAAGACTCTTTCTATCAGAACAAGGTCCAGAGCTGGTCTACCATTTTATTTTTGTTCTACAACCAACCTACCGAATTTGCTTTTAATCAAAACTACCCTTAAAAATTCTTTCAGTAGTCCTAAGTTATTGTGTATAGAGCTCTGTATAATAGTGTTATGTAGATCTCACATTTGAGAACCACTGAGCTGGGCTAAAGGGAAAAAAAGCTGTGTTCAGAGGTCTGGGTGATCAAACCTTTTCTTCCTAAGATAAGTATCAGATTATTTGAGGGAGTGCAGAATTCTACTGTGTTTCTTCTTGCCTACAGAATTTTCTTAACTTTTAAAAATTATTCAGCCTTTCTAACCTGAATATGCATTAATAGACTTGTCTGCTGCTGCACGTTTTTTGTGAAGGCTCACAGGTCAAATGAACTAATACGTGTAAAAGCACTTGACACGGGACCTGTTCCCGTTGCTTTTGAGTGCAACCCTTGTCTGCTCACATTCAGACACACGTGGTTCTTGGAAGGGTCCTGGAAGGGAGCTGAGCCTCTTGCTTCTTGTCTTTCCAAGTTTCCATTTCCTACTGGCTCTTAAAGAAGACTTAATAGCTATCACCGTTTGAGTCTTAGGGCTCCTTCTTGTAAAGCTACACCTTCCTTGAGGATATACAATGGAGTCCACACCCATCACTCAGGCCCTGGCGAAAGCACACGGAGATGCATAGGTTTAGACACCTGTGGTAAGAGAGCAGGACTTCGAAAGGGGCCTCAGCTCTGCCCTTGCATTTAAGGACTTGCTTATGCATTGTGCGCCCTTTGTAGTCTTCCCTATAGATGAGGAGGATTACACCTGAATGGCCTATAAGGTACAAAACAAGCCTAGCGACTTCTAGTAATCATGTTTACTTCTAGATACCGCTTCAGTAAGAAGTATCCTGTATTGTTCTAGTGGAATTTCTAAGCAGAAGTGCTAATCCAGATTGACTTTTAGGATTCTGAATGTCAAAATAAGTTTAGTACTCTACGGAGAAAATTTAATTAGTTGTTAAAAAATTCCTCTCCAGGCTGTGCTGGAGAGGATCAGTGCAGGTGGGCTAGAGGCCCAGTCCTTAAAGCTTACTGAATATAATTAATGGTTTACCAGAGTGAATATATTCTCTTGGGGGAGAATACAATTGCTGGCTATTTATTAGCCAAAAACAATTTAAAATTTTATTTTTCCCTTGGATATTATACTTACGAAGCTTCACCGGAGTGAATCTAAAACGTGAGAACAAGTCTGCAACAGTTAGCGTTGTCAGTGCCTTATTCCAGACACCTGAAATAGTGCCTCCCGAGCTGCAAGTGCTCATGGGGTGTGACTGGGAAGAACCGTCCTGAAATCCGTCTCATGGTCTCATGGTTGACCAATATAAGAAGAAAAAGCCACGAGCTGAATTTTGTACTGAGCTACATGGCGTAATTGATATATGTGGATCAGAGACTAAATTATTCATTTCCTAAATTCTTTTTTTTACAGAAAGAAGCCAGGTCATATTATCAACCCTTTGAGAACACAACATAAACTGTACCATTTTACCACTTCCTTGAATAGGTAAGACCCTCCCCTCTCTACAGTAAAAGAGTTACCCACCATTGTGAAAAATAACTCTTTACTAACGATGTTTTGAAAGCTCTTTTATCAATTCATTTTGATAAGGGAGAAACACATATGAATTCTAGAGCTGATAGGTTTAGAATGATTAAAATAGCACTTCCTAATGTTTGGAGTGATTTGATAGCAAAAGAGTGAAATGATCTTTCTCTGCAGTGAGGGCTGAGCTAAGCCTGTCTCTCCTGTTGTGGTGAGCAACACCACTAATGTTACCTCGTGCCAAGTGTGGTCCTACACGACTGGCTTTGCGTAAACTAAACCGTTTATTCCTTACAGCAGCCCTGGGGGTAGATGTGGAGAGCCCGCCCATCTTCCAGATCCGAGGCGTGAGGCAGAGGGAGAGGAGGCAGTCAGTGTAGTTCAGCTGAGGGTACGCAGGGTCCCAGCTGCTGGAGGAAAAACACCAGCTTCGGCTGTTCTTGTGAGAGCAGCTTCACGTTGTGTAGAAATGTCCAGCAGTCAGATTCTCCTGTGTTTTGTAGAAATGTCCAGCAGTCAGATTCTCCTGTGTTTTGAGTTGGTTCTATCTGAATTTATGGAAGAAAAAAAATGTCATGCATTGACTGAAAGGGCCGTATCAGGCAAACTGTCATTTTATGTTTGTGCTTGTTACCTGTACAGTTGCTGCATGAGTAAATAAAGGGATGTATGCACTTGAGCTCAGTTTACAAGCAGAAACAATGTTTTCCTTTATTTAACGTATTTCTTTAAACTTAAGGTTCCTCTGATAAAAGCAGAATAATATTACAGAAAGGTTTCAAATGAATGATTTCTTATTCTAGGAAATGAATAATGCATTTTAATTTCATTTCTTTTTGTTAGAAGCACTGTATATACAGTCTTAAATTGGCCCCAGCAATATTCACTTTACTGTTTTCATTATTTCTCTATGATTTTATTTCTTGTCAAGAACATTTATTAAAAAAAAGAAAATTTATAAAATTTTAAAAGCAAAATACAGAAAATATGATGAATACCCAAGTGTCAGCCACATGGATTAAAAAAATGCTGACATTCAGCTTTGTTCAAATCTCTTCTAAACAATAAACCATCACAGAGAGAGCAAAAGCTCCCTCTTCTCCCTTTCCTTTCCTCCCAAAAGGTGTCACAATCCTGATGATTAACCCTCCCATGCATGTTCTAATACTTTAATGATATGTGTATGAAACAATATGCCCTATAATTATTTACATTTTAGAAGTTTACATAGGTGGTCTCATACCGTGCATATTCTCCTGCAGCTTGCCTTCACTCAACATTCTATTTAGAGATTCATCCATATTGATACGTGAAGATCCAGTTGGCTCATTCTAACTGCCGTAAAGTTGACTCATTTTAGTGTTTCAGTCATCTGGTGCTTAGTATTGTTAATTATTACTTCTAAATAACTTTTAGCGTTTTGAAGATTCAATGCTAAAATGGTATAAGCATGGCTTTTGTTGATGCAAATAATCAATAACAATCTATAAATCAAAATTGGGGTGGGTTTATTATAGGAGCCAGTTTTGAGGACTATAGCCTGGGAGAATGCTTCCACCAAGGAAGGAAGCTCTCCAAAGAAGCGGGGTCTATAGCCTAGTTCTATACCATCTTGGAACAAGGAACATATATCAAATATGACAGGAGTGTCCCTTTTACTACAGTCATGAGACACTTTGCTAGCACAGCAGGTTGGTGGTCACAAGGTGAGCACAGCAGGTCAGTAACTAATCCTTAGTTTTGGGGAAGAAATGCTTATCTATAAAGAAATGCTGATATGGGGGAGGCAACATCCCTATTTTTAAGGGCATCGTTCTCAGCTTTGGGACACAGTAAATGTTTAAGGTAGGTGCACAATGCATGCTCAACAGGCCACGTCAGGCGTTTCTGGAAAAACAAGGTCAGATGTATTAGTTTTAAACCAAATGGCTTCTGGGCCGGCCCCGTGGCTTAGCGGTTAAGTGCATGCGCTCCGCTACTGGCGGCCCGGGTTCCGATCCTGGGCGCACACCGACCACCGCGTCTCCCATCATACTGAGGCCGCGTCCCACATACAGCAACTAGAAGGATGTGCAACTATGACATACAACTATCTACTGAGGCTTTGGGGGAAAAAAAGGAGGAGGATTGGCAATAGATGTTAGCGCAGAGCTGGTCTTCCTCAGCAAAAAGAGGAGGATTAGCATGGATGTTAGCTCAGGGCTGATCTTCCTCACAAAAAAAAAAAAACAAAACCAAATGGCTTCCTCATACCTCCATATGTCTTCTTGTTTTTCATTTATTCATCTCTTTCAACGCATCTTGGGATTTGTGTATAAGAAATCCAAAGTTATTAATATGTGGTCGATATCGTGCCCATTCAGTTTGTTTCCTTTTTTCCTATTAGGCAAGCATTTTTTTGGTGGCTGTAAGGATCTTGCGAACTCATGGGACTCATGATTTTTACTGCTTTTGCCCTAACACAATAATTGAAATCTGTTTTATTTCCCCATAGATGAAATACTAACTATTCCCAAATACAGTGTAAATACTACCTTTGAAATTTGATACTTAAAAGAAAAACACTCTTGTTTGGCCCATGTTAATTGCTTGTGTTCCCTTCAAAAATCATGAGAGAAACTCTTAAAAAAAAAAGGATTTTCTTCCTAATTTTCTGTAACACTATAGTTAATTCCAGAATTTGTTTATGGTAAAGGAAATGTCAACATACAGTAGTAAGATTTATAGACAAAGAATCTTTCATAATTGTTTTATTTTCTGAAGGGAGTAAATTACTACTCTGGCAAAGTCAGGGGAGAAAGAAGAGAGAAACTCACCTTTGCTGGGCAAATATGAGTGAATATGAGACTTTGTGTAAGCCTCGCAGGTCAGAAGTGCAATTCTGCAGATGGTGAAATCAAGACCCATACACGTCAGGTAACTTCTCAAGATCACACAGTGACTGCAGAGACTGGATTCGAACGCATCACTCTCAGACTCCAAAACTATGCTGCCTACCAGAAAAAACAATTGGGAAAACCTAACTGTTTGACACATAAATAGCAGTTTTGTTTATTCCACCAATGTTTATTGGGATCCTTTTATGTGAGTTGAGGTGGCTGATGTTGGAAAATCAAGGAAGACACATTATCTACCCAGAGTGAGAAAACAGGCTATTAGGAAGGGCAGAGACTCCTCAGTGAACCATCATGTGACTACTTAATTCCATATCTCTCTTTTGCTGTCTTAACATTGTTGACCAGGTAATTACCTTTGAGGTCACCTAACCATGCCAGTTAGGTTATATTAATGGGACAATAGGAGTGAAAGTGCTTTGTAAATGACAAAATCTTTACAATCATTTACTGACATTACTAATTATTCTGTAAAATTTAGAATTGAGTATTTCAAATCTAATGCATGTAATTCTAAATGTAAAGATAATGTATGTCTCTGAAGTTGGAGTCTGACTATGTCATCTAATATCAGCGTCTCTGTGTTACAGAAGCCACGTTTAACATCGTAGTGTAGTTAACAGCCCTGACAGTGGGTTTGTTTCCAGCCCCCACCACCTATTAGAGGAATATTATTTAACCTCCTTAAGCCTCACAGCAGATAATAACAGTAGAAGCGCATGCCTGTCCAGAATCTGGTCATTTCTCATGACCTCTGCCGTATCACTGGAATCCGCTCTCTCACCTTGCCTACTGCAATGGCCTCCTGTGCTGTCTTGCTCTCCTACAGTCTGTTGTTCTCATAGTGTGATCTTTTATAAATCTTAATCAATTGATATGACTCTTTTGTTCAAAATCCACCAATGGATGCCCACAATAGTCAGATGAAGGCCATATTCCTACTGTGCCCAGCAAGGTGCTAAATAAACCGACATCTTCTACCTGCCTGACACCATCTCAACATCCTCTCCTCTCACTGGGGGCAGACTGTGACGTCTGAGCTGTGTCCAGAACGGTCTCTATCTTGGTGGACCCTTGCTTGTTGAAGGACTGAGTAGGTATGCGAGGATTACTGTAGAACACACACAGCATCCTTAAGCACATCAGAGATGGTTGTTGCCCTTTTAAGGATTCCTTTGGTTTGTCTTAATAGATTCTGTCGCTTCTGGAATGCTAAGGAGCTTTCATGCATGTTTTTGACACATGATTTTATAGCATTATGACAAAAATTTTTTCTACTGATATGTAATCTTGAATCTTAATTTATAGTACCGAAAACAGAGATAAATTAGGGACAAATTATTTGGGTAGATAAAAGAAAACCATTTAATGAGCAGAAAATATTTATTTGATTATTACATGCCATCTTTTATCTGAATAATAATATTCAGATTTGCCATAATGTGACATTGCTTATATTTTGCTTTATTTTCAGAATAGATTTATATCTTTTCATCATTCATAGATGGGTGAAGTTTAACTTTTGAGGTAATTTTCTGTAAAACAGAAAATTGGTTTTTGGTTTATTTTTACAATACTCCTTAGGAGCAGTGCTTGATGAGTGTTGACGTTGTTAAGAACATTTGTCAAGAGAAAGATAAACAGTAGGACCACAATACCCCAACAGTTAAGGAAAAGAGAAAGAAAAACTGGTATTTTCACCATCCTCTCCGGAAAAAAGTACCTTGACTTGTGTTGACTACTATCTCATCAGCATTCAGCTCTGGTCCGTGGCACTCTATGTGAATAACTTTAAAGGCAGATTTAACATTCTAAAAATAAATGTATTGGTAATGTAGGACATCAGATGTTCCCTTTATGGAAGCTTATTCTAATTTGTACTATCAGCTGGCGCTCATATCCAGACCCCAAACTGTTCTGGCTCTTACTGAGCAAGAACCTATTCCAGGGTGAGGTTCTGCAGGGGATTCTCTCATGGTGAACTAGAGGCGTAAAGAGATAGAGTTGCCCACATAGTCCAGCAGGAGTTAAAATAACAATAACGTCCTCCTACTTAACAGGCTGAGTC